GTTTAGGGTTTAGGGTTGAGGCCAAGATGACCCCAAGTGGACCAAGATTACCAAGATGACCCAACGGGCAAGCCAAGATGACCGGTCATCTTGCTTCCCTTAGTGGTTCAGCTTTCCCGGGCGCTCTACCAAGACTTCAGAGTTTAGGCTTGAGGAAGAGGGTATTTCATTTTCTTTGGGGTTCCTAGATGTTCCTTCTAGAAGTCTAGGGTCAAAGCATAGTTTTCAAAAGCCCCCCCCATACTTTATTCTACTTGTTATAAAGCCACTACATGACATGGAGTCACCCTAGGCAGGGGTTCTGCAAATTTAGCACCTGAGGCTGATTGCGTCCTCAACAGATGGGGGTTTCCAAAAACTGGGGGTACCTTATTTCGGGGCCCTTATAATAAGGATCCTACTATTTAGGGTGCTATACTAGGGTCTCCTATTTTCGGAAACCCCTAGATGTGTTCATGTCTGGGTCGGACGCATTAGTAAGCTTTATTCCCTAGAACTCCCTTTGTATGACTAGAGAAAAATTTTAAAAATAGCCCAAGACGGTGCAGCGGAGGAGGTTTGCGATTCTTTGTAGGGGGGGCTAGGCGTTTACTAAGTTGTTGTAGTTCTTCATGAGCCGGAACTGGAAGAGGCTTCCTGACAAGAAAGCAGGGCTTGAAATCTTGATCTAAAGCATCGGCGATATAAGATCCCTAAACCTAAACCCCCCTTGGTCAATATCCCTTAACTAAGGAACTTACCTTAAATCAGATTAAGGATCCTACTATAATTTCAGTAATACTCCTTCATTAAGGTCCAACATCTGGGAACTCAGGTTCATCACCGACAGCGCGGCAGGCTTCATCGTGAAAGGCGTGACGCTGACGCAAGCCATTTTCCTTCGCCAGGTCTACTTTTTAGGCACCCTCTTCTCGGGGCTGCTCGGCGTCCTGATCCGGATCTACCTTTAAAGCCTTGCTTTGAGCTTCAATGCTGTTTTCGGACTCGATGAAGAAACCCGGAGCCCAAGTTTCTAAAGCCCTAAAGCTGCAGACACCTCCGGCATCAACAACCCTGGGAGTTGGTCGTCACGTGGAAGATGTATTGTCCTGTTCAGTTCGAAGCTCGAAGCAAGAAGTGGGCGGCCTCTTAATCTTCCGGGTTTGGAGTTTTGGTTTTAGGGTTTAGGGTCTAGGATTTTCGCCGGGCCGAGCATCACCGCAGCAACGATTTCCACGGTAGTGATACCGTCTTTACACATCGTCTCGATGAATATGAGAGGTTGAAAACCATGGGAATCGTTGATTCTATGGTTTAAAAGCAGATAGTATTCGTATCAGTGTATAGTTCATCTTATACATCTGTAGGAAACTATACCCTAGGACTCTATTCCCATTGTGAAGGCGTTTATGGTAGACACCCTAAACTCCGGGCATGATGGCTGGGTCTGACAAAAATGGGGCGGTAGTCATCCCAAATGGTTTCAGGGAAGTTGAGGGTGTAGGGTGTCTAGGGTATACTATAGTTCTAAGATGGTTTGTAAGGGGATGGTAATGCGAGCCGAACAACCACAAGCAGATTTAGAGATTCCGGGTTCTGATTGCAGGTCTTAGTCTAGCGAGACTTGAGTCTAGTGGGTTTCGGTGTTCGAGACTTTAGGGTTTAGGGTTTAGGCTAGCAAGAAAGGGGTGGCTTTAGCGGGATCAATCTAGTTAGGTGAAAGTGAAGTGCAAATCAGGTTTTGTTCTGTCATGTTGTTGGATTATATATCCTGCTCGGATAATCGGAGCCGCCTTGAACATGGTGCAATCCGGCTAAGACTGCTACCAGCTGTAAGTCTTCATTGTAAGTCCGGCTGACGAAGAACATCATGCCCTCCACGATGCTCCTCTACTATACACGGGTGGAGCTCTTGAGTTTGGAGCATTGGAAAATTTGTCAGACGTGGTTTTGGTTTTACTTGAGTTTACGACATACGACTCTAACACAAGCGGCCGCTTGGAACTTCGGTGGCTTGGACACTCGACGATGCAGTGAATCACGCGAGTGTGCACCCATGGGCTTCATGCTAGGGGACGTTTTTAGAGACCAGCTACCCGAACGAGTACGATCCTCACTATGACAACGCTCTGACTTTCGGGTGGCAAAATCATAGCGTAAACCCGAACCACGAATGGAGATGCTGGCAGCGTGCCGGCAATCATCTCATAAGTCCAACAAAAATGGAAATCTCATAAGTCCAACAAAAATGGAAGGCCTCAACCACCCAACACACTAAACCCCAAGACCTAAACACCCTCAACACCCAAAACCCGGGTTCCCTGACTCCAGAAGCCATGGGTCCCAGTTTTGTCGGAAGAGGCGATGCCAGCGACGGTGGGCGAAATTCTCGGGCTTGGGATCAAGGTTGAGACCTCTCAGGCTTATAAAACCTTAGTGTACCGTATAGGAGCAATTAGTAGTCATTTCAATATAATTCCCAAGGGTTCCTCGTTATTAGTACTTACAAAGTACCCCAAGGCCCTATTCTAAATTTGACTGCCCCCACTGCTGTGTCGCCTGGAAAGTCTGGTGTCAGAGAATCGCTGTGCCGCGCTTTCCAGCTCTGAATCTCCTTGGCGAGTGGATCCTTGCTGGTGTAAGGAGGTCGTGGCTGTTTTCTCCATGTCCATTGAGTCTATGTTGCATCTAGAACCGAGAGAGGACGAGGGAGGGAGAGAGAGAGGGAGAGAGAAAGCTTAGGAGCGAGGGAGGGCAGCTCTTGCTTGAGTTTTGCCGCTTGCTTTCAGCTCGTCATCATCTCTGCATCTCCCACGACCTCGCCAGATCGGGCCCCACTTGCCAGAGGCACCGTGCCGTGCACGGATATCGGAGTTTCTCAGCAACCATAACGGAAGGATCCATAGTCTACTACCAAGGCCCATGTTTTGAGAAACTCTCTCATGTTTTTCAATCAACAGCTTGCAACATCTACCCATGGGCCCCATAGTAGTCCCTTTTTGGGATTACCTTTTAGGATTCTAAATATGAACCCCAAAAGGAACTACTATGGGGCCTATGGGCTTCATGAACCCCGAGCCGCACTGCTCCTGCAGCACTGAAGCTTATGCGTTTTAGGGTTTAGGGTTTAGGGTTTAGGGTTTGGCAGCACGTCACCCCTATAGGAGCCGTATAGAAGGTCTATATACCTTATGGAAGGCTTATAGAAGCCCTATATACCCTAAACTCCCCCCCTGTAGTTAGGCAAATTGCAAATGCATCCCCGACCCACAGCCCGACTTTCAAAAACTCCGGAAGACAACTGCCCGATAAGGAAGTTTGGTTTTAGCTGGTGGGCCTTTTATGGTGAGTGCCCTAAACCCTAAACCCGCGTTCAGCATTTCGCCCAGGGACCCTACTGCCTCTAAACGTATCTTGCGTCGGCCTACGGGTTTTAGTCTCCGACTCTGATTGTCTCCGTATGAATTATAAGAAGACTTGGTGCTGCGAGGAGACAGATTCCCCCTTTAATCCCAGTTGTAATCGTTGTAATCCCAGTGGGCGCTGCAAAATGCAACGTACCGGGTGTGCTTTCCGCTTTCCGGCGAATCGCCGTTCATGCTACCTTTTCCAGATTTCCTGGCGGTGGGTCTGACTTGGGGACGTCATGGAAGCATCCCTACTCTCTGTCTTCGCCAATGAAACCAATGCTCGATCATCGTTGTGAAATTTGATTGGAACGAACCGTACTACAAATGGGTGGTTGTCAAAATTATGGTCCCTTTTTGGGTCCTTATTATAATACGGCACCTATTATTTAGGGTACCCCAAAAGGGACCCTTATTTTGACAACCACCCAAATCCTCCTGGGCGTGCGCACGTCAATAGCAGCTTAGGCCGGAGTAGTAATGCCAGAGTTCAGGGACCGCAGGTGGCATCGCGACTGCTCCTGTGTCTACTGCTACTGGTATGTACTCATACTGCTACTGCTGCTACTACTAAAACTACTACTACTACTACTACTACTACTACTACTACTACTACGACTACTACTAGTACTACTAGTACTACTACTACTACTACTACTACTACTACTACTACAGTACTACTACTACTACTACTACTACTACTACTACTACTACTGCTCCTCCTCCTCCCCCTCCTCCTGCTGCTGCTGCTGCGACGACGACGACGACGAGCTGCATCTTGTTTTATTGGGTCGTGCCCGTTGAAATGGCAAGGGAACATGACCTAACAAGCGCTCGGTTGGAGGATGGCAGACGAAGTCTTAACCACTGGGCCGGTCTAAAATCTGAAGGGGTTTCGTCCATATGAAGCCTGAGCCCCCAATCAATCATCCCTCGATTCTGAAACCTAAAAGCGTAAAAAGTTTCAACCAAGCCCGACAACAGACCACCCCAGTCGAGCTTCCTCTATCTGGCTAACGGCTTTGCTATCTTTAGCCTCGGCAGCGACGCCGCGCAATTTGCTTGCAAGCGTCGGAGTTGGCTTTGAGGGTCCGGGTTTAGGGTTCAGGGTAAAAAGCTGCAAGTCTTCGGTTTTTGCGTGATTTGAACTTGGGACGTCTTGGAGAAGCACCAGAGGTTTGAGGTTTAGGGTTTAGGGTTTAGGGTGCCTGAGGGTTTCATCTGACCCGAGGCTGAATGTTAATTCTTTGAAGTTCGGAGCTTCGCGGTGGAACTGCGCAGCCTCGATGATGTGCAATCGATTTTTTCTATTGGGGGGCTGTTCAGCAGCACTCGGGGCGTCGGCGCTCACAACCATGCAAGGTACACTGTGATCCATGTGCCGATGTAGTATTAACCCCAAAACCCTAAACCTACTGTTTTATTCGCAAGGTTGTGTTATCGAGATATAGTCGACAAGCGCACAACACAGGGGATTTTGAATTCTGACAGGGGCTAGTCACGGAACCTGCTCAAGAAAACCTGGGTTTTTAGTTGGGTTTAGGGTCTACCTGGGTCTTTAGGGTTCTTTAAATGAATGTGATAATATTTGGGGTTACAGGATCAGGCTTCTTAATCAGGTTCCTAAATTAGATTGAAGATGCCAGCAGTTCGGGACAACATGGCAGATTCACAGGAGAAACCTTGGCCCTATCCGTGTGCCTTGTTACAAATGCTTCTCCACATCCTTTTGCAATTAACCTAAAATCTCTAAACCCAACTGTTCGGTTTAGGGGTGTACAGTTTTGGATATTATAAGGTCTGGTGGAACATGAAGGCCCGTAGGTTTTTTTTCATTCCAAATTCTTCAACTACATCCCTTCGACCATTCTCAATCCTGTGATCTGCGAGACAGACTGAAAGACCCGAGGCCGTAAACCTTAGGCTTTAGGGTTTAGATGGGTTTAGGGCCGGACTATACCGGGGCCTAGATGCTCAGGCATTTACAGCTGAAGACAAGCAGCAGCAACTCATGTCGAATCGCAACGTCCAAGGTTTGCAAGGCTTTGTAGGGGTTGTCACAGGAGACAGAGTTTGGGACAGAAGAAACTTGTTCCTGATCCTCAGCTGTCGTTCTCTATCTTTCTACCGCATGATGGCCCGTTTAAGCCCGGAGATTCTGAATCTTGACGATGCGATCCATAAGAAGTTCTTAATTCACAACCTTTGTCAAGTCCTATAAAAAACACCTTGCACGACCCTACAAACCTTCTTCAAAACCTGCAAGCCTGGAGATGTGAGTTCAAGATGCCGTGCACCCGAGTTCGCTGGTGGGGCAACAAACCAGCAAGCTGGATTCAGTCTTCCGCAGTCCCTTTTAACCTGCAGTCAGGCCATGCATGCACAAGGCTTAGGGCTGGGTCCCGGATCTCAAAGCTTGAGCCGCTTAGTCCAGGGACTCCCGTCTGCTTGTTGGGCTTATAACTTAGGAGCCCAGTAGGTAAACTTTAAACTTTTTGGTATATTAAACCCTCACTAAAAGACAAGTTTAAACTTTTTGGGCCAGGGTACTGGGAGCTAGGCTG